TCGGTGGGTCCTACGCTTGGGGGATGATTGCCAACAGGTATCTTGGGGGGTAGAGATAAAGGAAGTTTCCAAAGGAATTTTTATATGTTAAAGTAGACTTAAAGGATCCTGGGAGTCAGGCTAAGACTGCCTTTTGCCCTTCGCAAAGTATTAACACCGAGGCAGCTGAGTTCCTAGAGGAATGTCACTCTGCCCGTTTCAAGGACTTGTCAGTGGGCTGTAGGTGGTAAGGAAATTTAATTTTTCTTTTGCCTTTGTTTCCCACATCACTGGGAAAGGGACCTCCCAGGGTACCCACGTTGCAATGCCTCAAAACATTCTCAAGAGATTTCATTTTTTCCCATCCCGTACTATACAAGTGAATTTGAGGAAAGCCTATTTAAAAACCAGTCATTACTATTGACTTTCTGGTGTGTCTCCTTAATGAGTTCCTCACTGTTCTGGCTGTATGCGGGTACATACGCCCATCTTCATCTCCGGTACCATGGGAAGGCCTTGGGCCTGACACCAAATCCTCGGCATCCATGGGCAGACTTTGAGGGGGTATGCATGTTTTATTTACATGGCTCCCATGCAAGCTTTGCTCATTGTGACTTTGGCTAAGTCATCCAAACTGTAACAATTTCTCCATTAATAAAGTAGGAGTTCCTACCCTACCACATGAGAATTAAAGATGTGAAAAGAGAGACGAGCCTTGGGGTGCCTGGGTGGCTCAGTCGGTTAAACGTCTGCCTTTGGCTCAGGTCATGATCCCAGGGTCCTGGGATCAAGTTCTGAGTCAGGGCTCCCTGCTTGGCCCGGGGCCTGCTTCTCCCTCTGCTACTGCCCCTCCCCCCAGCTTGTGCACACGTGCTCTCTCGCTCTCTCTCTCTCAGATAAATAAAATCTTCAAAAAAAAGAGAGATGAGCCTTTCTAAAACCAGCACCACTGACTGAGTGGCTTCCTGGGCAGAGCCTGACTACTAGTGGCACCCTGAGGACAAGCGGAGGGGGGTGGCTGGTCTTCCCAGTGCCTGTGATGGGGGGAAGTGGTGCCCACATATGTGTTCAGCTGGTGTGTGCTGGGTTCATTCCCTGAGTGCCTACCATGTGCCAGGCATGGAGCTGAGCACTGAGGATGCAAGACCCTCCTACAGCTCAGTCTAGTTGGGGGAACAGATCATAAACAGCCAACAAGTAAACTGAGAGGCAATACCTGCAGATATTGATAAGTGCTACAAAGAAAATAAGACAGGATGCCACAACCATCTTGGAAAACAGTTTGGCAATTTTTTTTTAAGAGTTTATTTATTTATTTGACAGACAGTGAGCACAGACAGGGGGAGTGGGAGAGGGAGAAGCAGACTCCCAGCTGAGCAGGGAGCCCGATGCGGGGCTTGATCCCAGGACCCTGGGATCATGACCTGAGCCGAAGGCAGATGCTTAACCCACTGAGTCACTCAGGTGCCCCAGTTTGGCAATTTCTTAAAAAGGTAAATAGATACCTGCTATATGATCCAGTCATTCTGCTCCTAGACATCTACCCAAATAGATGTTCAGTGACTATCACCTGAATGAATGAATGAATGAATGAATGAATCTGTTCTGCTTGTCTTTCTGTATTGAAGGTACAGAGATAAAACTTGGCTGAGGCAGACAGGATTGGCGAGGGACATGATAAATTTATTTTTTATTTTTATTTTTTTTAAAGATTTTATTTATTTATTTGACAGAGAATGACACAGCGAGAGCAGGAACACAAGCAGGGGGAGTGGCAGAGGGAGAAGCAGGCTTCCCACGGAGCAGGGAGCCCGATGCGGGGCTCAATCCCAGGACCCTGGGATAATGACCTGAGCCAAAGGCAGACGCTTAATGACTGAGCCACCCAGGCACCTCAGGACATGATAAATTTAAACTTGAATTCCAGAAGTGTGCTCACGAAAGCTATCACCCCAAAGCCTTGTGGAATATGCTTTGTGGGGGCCCATTTGTCCTTGCATAGTCAGGACTGGGTCATGGCTCCCTTGAGAATAGTCACTTTCTTTTGTTCTTGTGAGCTACACCCCAACCCCAGCCAGCTGGGTCTGGTGCCCCCTCCCCCATGCCTCCCGCCCCAGCTGGTCAGGATGAATGCAGCGTCACTGTGTGAGCCGCAGGGACATTCCACAGACCCAGCCTTGTGCTTTCTCCAGTCTGTCTTTCCCTTCTTTGCCTCACTCCATCCTTTGCATCCCAGCCTGGGCTACATTTTCCTGAGATAGAAGCGGTGGAGCTGAGGGGCCGAATGTCAAGGTCCCAGAGCCAGACCTCCTCGGTCCCCAGCCCAGTTTCATACCTACCAGTGACTTGGGCAATCCTTCCAACTTCTCTTAACCTCAATCATCTTACTGTAAACAAAGATGAGGATAGTAGCTGCACCATGGGGTCATTGTGAGAATTTACTGCTGAGAATTGACTGCAGATCATTTTTCACATTGTCTACCACAAATTAAGTATTTAATTAATGTCCGCCTTAATCTAGGACTTGTTTGTTTTGCATTTTCTCCTAAGGTGATCATGGTCTTATTACACAGTTATAGGCTTGGAAGAAACACCTCTAGGATCTGAGGTGGATGGGGACTGTTTCTTAGAAGAGAACTGATAGAGGCCGCTGGGTGGCTCAGTCAGTTGAGCATCTGCCTTTGGCTCAGGTCATGATCCCAGGGCCCTGGGATTGAGCCCCGTGAGGGGAGTAAGCCCTGCCTCAGGCTTCCCGCTCAGGGGGCAACCTGCTTTTCCCTCTCCCTTTGCCACTCCTCCTGCTCCTGGTCTTTTGTGCTCTCTCTCTCTCTGCCAAATATATAAATAAAATCTTTAAAAAAAGGGGGGGGGCGCCTGGGTGGCTCAGTCTGTTAAGCGGCTGCCTTTGGCTCAGGTCATGATCCCTGGGTCCTGGGATCAAGCCCCACATGGGGCTCCCTGCTCAGTGGAGAGCCTGCTTCTCTCTCTCCCTCTGCCCCTCCCCCGGACCCCCCATGCGAGCTTCCTCTCTCTCTTGCTCTCCCTCTCTCTATCTCAAATGAATAAGTAAATCTTTTTTAAAAAATAAGAGAATTGATAAATAATAATATAATGTTATAATATCCACCATTTACTGAGGCATTACTCTCTTCTAGGTATCACATAACCAATAATTAACAATAACTAATACTTAATGACAATAGTAGCCAATTCTAATTTAGCACTTACTATCTGCCAGGCCCTGTTCCAAATGCTTTTTTGTGTATTAACAAACCCTAACAACCCTTTGAGGAAGATAACTATTATCGTCCTCATCTCACATATGAAAAAACTAAAGCACAAAGAGGCAAAGCAACTTGCCCAAGTTCCACCAGTAAGTGGCAAAGCCAGGATTCAAACGCCTCTTCTCCTGTGTGCTAACTCCGCAAAAATCAACCTAGGTGTAGCCATTTCGCAGCTCAAGACCCCAGTGGCAGGCGTTGGGGTGCTCTGTCCCCTGGGCTGGAGGACTGTATCTCCAAACAGGGCATCAAATTAGGCCAGTGGGCCCTGAAGCCCTGCAAAGGTCCCCCTTTCTTTGTGTCTGGAGAGAGCACCTGTCTTGATCCGATCTCAGGACCCTCCCACTCCCCACCGCCAATCCCTGGCAGAGTCTCAACCTCCCATGTGGTTTCTCCCTCCTGGAGACAAGAGCAAGGACTCAGACCAACCCTAAGGGGACCCTTACCCCAGGTGACTCTAATAAAAGCTGGTGTTCTCCAACTGAGAATTTTCTCTGGTTATGGGTGAAGGATGGGGTGGGGAGGGGTGGGGTGAGGGTAGTCAACAGCCTAAGAGAGATGCCAGGTAAGACAGCTCTTTCTTTCCTCAATTCTTCTCATTTACAATTGAGGGGCACACAGTGTTTAGATAAAATCTTTTTGTTCTCTGGTTTTCTTCCTTCCGCAGAGAGGTGTTTCCTATAGGTTTTCTGCTGGTTTTCCAGCTAGATTTTCCTAAAGTTTTCGGTATACAGACTCAAGTGGACTCCAACCAGTATATTGATAATAACCTCCTGTATTGGTAATAACAATAGCTCATGTGTATTGCTCACTTACTAAGTGGCAGGTACTTTTGGGCACTTTACCTTAACAAAGACACTATCCTTGACCAAATTTTAGTTAGGTTCCTCTGAGCCCCCTTCTAGACTAGGCCTGGCCTTCTCTGTCCAGCCTGTCCTTGCTGGGACTGCAAGATCCAGTTTTACCAAGACTCCCCCCCACCCTTGATATCTGGTCACCCTCCATATCTGATCAAGTTCCCCATCCCCCATCTTTGGCGTCTAAGTCCTGGCCTGCCTTTAGCAAGAATCCTGTTGGGTCAGTTTAGCAAGAATCTCCCTACCCTTTATATCTCCTCTTGGTATTTTCCATCCGCTGACCGCCCCCCCCCGTGCCTGTCCTGGGAAGCGAGCTTCCTCAATCCCCCCTATTGCAATACCCCTATGGCAACGGTCTTGAATAAAGTCTCCCTTACCGCTCCAGCAAGTGTCAGAATAATTTTTTCATCCTCAACATGAATGAGTTCATCTAACCTCAAAAGGATCCTAAGAGGTAGGTACCATCAACGTCTCCACTTAGAAGCGAGGAAGGAGGGAGGAGTGAGGGTGCCCTTGGGGATGAGACATCAGCTGTTGGCACCTGGACGTTCCCCCAAGTTCTTCGGCTGCAGGTGGTCCATCTGTTGGGATACTAACCCGGCAAGATACTGCGTCCTTTGCGACACAAATCCCAATATTCTCCAACAGCCTGCCGGAACCGCGTGGGAGGCGGCGGGAGCTGGGAACCCGGAGGGAGCAAGCCGCCGGACGCCGTCTCCTAGCAACCGGGCCGGGGTCACGTGACCCGCCTCACGTGGCCGGGAGCCGCGCTGCAGTCCGAGCGGCAGCCGCGAGTGGGGCGGGGCTGGGCAAGTTTGTTTCCCGAGTTCGGAGCCCAGGAGCCCCCGCGGCTGCCGCGCAGGTGCCCTCCGCCTGGGTCGGGATGGAGCTGCCTACCGTGAACCTGAAGGTGGCGACGGGCAGGGTGGGGCGCGGGCGGGGCGGGTTGCCCCAGAGTGTGTGGGGGCGTTTGCTTTTTTCAAGAAGGATTTCAGAAGCGAGAGGATCGAGAGCTCGGGGCAAGAGGGGGTGGTAGGGAGACAGCGAGAGCGTGGACCCCCGGTGGGAAGGAGGTGAGCAGACCGGCCATAACAGGGAAGAAGGATCCAGGGAAAGGCCAGCAGGGAAGACCGAGGGGGAGCTGGAGGCGGTAGGGGAGGGAAAGGGCCGCCCGTTCCCCTTTCCAGCCTCGGCGCCTCCGGCCGCGAGCCCCGGGAACCTGAGGATCGCTTTGGCCTACGCGCCCAGAATTCCCCTGGAGAGAGGGAGGGAGGGAGCCGCGGGGTGGGGGCGGGCCCTGAGAGCCGGAGGGGTCTCGGCGGCGGTCACCTGCCGGTCGCCCAGAGAGGGGGCTAGACCTTTCATCTGCACGCCCAGCACCGCCCCGCTGCTTCGTTGGCTTCATCCGGTTAAGAAAACCCGAAATTCCCAGACCAGTGGTTTCCAAAGCTTATAAATCCAGCGTCCTTATTTCATAGGAAACAGGAACTCCAATAGAAGTTCCTTAGAAGCAGAGAACCCCAACTCTGTGCCGTTAGGAAAGCACTGCGCGGCTTCCTGGGGTGTCTTCATTTCCTGTGGCATGTCCTCAGCTCCTCTAGATGCCAGTGGCTTCTTCATTTTCTCCCCGCCCCTGGCCCTGCGGGCGGGCTCCGCTTCTGGGCTGCGCTGACAGCAGAGGGGCTGGGGCCTTTAGCTTTGGGCTGGAAGGTGTGAACGTTGGCCCAAACCTGCCATTTGGGGTCTCGGTGCTGTCCCCACTTGAAACTATATCCAGGAACGCCCTTTTACTCATCAGTGACAAAGCATTTAGCACACGTGGTGTCCAGCACTGAAGGAATCTAAGAGACAGAGGACCACAAAACAACACAATCCATATTTGGATTATTAGACGGGGTCTGTGTTATGACTTCACGGAGGCAGATTTCCCTTAATCTCATCTCCCTCCCAGAAGCTTCCAGAAAGTTTGGTTTACAGGAGGGCAACCGAGGTTTGTTGGTATTAACATTCACTGTGTTCCAGGCAGTGTGGAGTCAGTGCCCACTGCCTTTTCTCTGATGAGAGATTTGCCTAGAATCATGGCTAAGAGAGCATCAGGCGAGGGACAGAGCTGCAGGAATGGAGAGGGCAGGGGGCCCTCATTCCTGGAGCATCTGTGGTATGCCAGGTGGTTCATTTGATCACAGCCACTTCTGAGAAAGCTGATATTGTCGCCTTTCTTACAGATGAGCAAACTTCGGGGCAGATAAGTAACTTGCCAAAGTCCCACAGGGATTAAGTGGCAGAGTTAGGCTTTGAACCCACTGGGGTCAGACTTCAAAGCCATACCCTTTCCTGACCACCAGTTAGGGCTGACTTTGGCCTTGACGGTTTCCATCCACTGGGAGGGCTTCGTCTGTTTGGGGCTTTTTTTTTGAGCAACTTTATGGGCCTGACAGGCCCAGTGTGCCCACAGGTATGAGCTGTGCTAGTGTTCTCTGCCCCAGAGTGAAACGGGGGGACCTTCCCTTGGCTTAGGAAACAGGACCCCAGGTTTCCAAAGGTCTTAGCTGCTACCAGTCAGAGACCAGTAAGTGCTGGGAGGCCCTGGGGGCCAAGGTTGCCAGGGAACATACATCCCATTGAATTTGAATATCAGATCAACAGTGAATAATTTTCTAGCATAAGTATATCCTAGGCAATATTTGGATCACACTAACAAAGGGCTTATTAACCAAAATTCAAAACTAACTGGGCGTTCTGTATTTTTGTTGTTGTTGTTAAATCTGGCCACCGTAGGGAGGGCGGCTGTCGACTCCTTGTTTGTAGGCACTTAAGTGGGATGTTGTGAGATCAGGGCCCTTCAGGAGCTGGGAGAATGCACACCTATGGACCTGCATTCCCTCGTTTCATCTATTCCGGGGCATTTGGTTGAATCCTGCTTGTGCCCAGCCCTGCTGGAGTGGTCAGTGGTGCCAGGTGAAAGAAACAGCTGCCCCAGGCCCTTCACACAAAGGGCCGTCCCTAACTGAGTCCCATCTGTGAGGCAAGTCCTGAGCTGGAGAAATGACATCGTGACAGGCCTGGCCCTGCCCACCCCCCAGCTTCCTGTCTGTCTTCCACCGTCTACTGTCCGGCCACATTGGCTTCTTTTCAGTTTCCAGAATGTTCCATGCTTCCTTCTGCCACAGAGCCTTTGCAGGTGCTGCCCCTTCTGCTTGAAATGCTCTTCTTTGATCTCTGCCCCTAGTGAACCCCCTGCTCACCGTTTTTACCCTGGCTTAAATGTCACTCCCTCTGAGAAGCCTCCTAACCACCCCACTCTCCCCCACCCCACCCCGTTGTAGAATGAGGCTCCTTTTCTTTTACTATAACTCTCCCTCAGAAAGAAGGTCTCACTGGATCCCTCATTCCTAAGACGATGATCTGATCATCAGGTGAGACATAAAAGTTCTGCCACACAGCTGTCCCGCTCACCGTTGAGCCCCCAGGGTGGGTGCCAAGCAGATGCCAGGGATGCCAGGTGAAGTGTTTGAGAAATTTAGCACCATCTGATCATGTCTCTCGAGCCTCTGGGAAAAGAAACCCATGGCAGACTAAGCCTCCTCTCCCTCGATCTCCCCATCTTTGTAACGGGAGGAGCACACCTACCCAGCCCCAGAGAGGCCTAGTGCTCAGGCGACACCGGGCTCACGGTCAGGTTTAAGCCGTGGCTCTGCCACTGGGCAGCAGTCACTCATCTCGGAGCCTCAGATTCCTCAACTGTAAACGGCACCTCTGGGGGTTGGAAGGATTAAAGGCGTCCACGTACAGAACACAGAGTGGTGCCCACACGAGCAGAGGTAGCCAATCACAAAGCTCCTTTCCAGGGCAGAGGTAGCCAATCACGAAGCTCCCTTCCAGGGCAGAGGTAGCCAATCACGAAGCTCCCTTCCAGGGCAGAGGTAGCCAATCACGAAGCTCCCTTCTAGCGCCAGCCTTCCGTAGAGTACACACGTGGCTTTCGCAGGGGCTCGGCTGCTCGGTAAAGTCAGGAGCGTTGGTCCTTGCAGAGCTGTTCTCCCAGCTTAACGACTCTCTTTCGGGCCATGGCACCAGAGCCCTTTTGGTTCACTCGCAGTGGGCCCTGAGGGTCAAGGTGGAACGTCCCGGCCGTTTCAGCTCCCCCCACGTGCAGAAAATGTCCGCATTTGTCACAAGCTCCAATGGCTCCCCTCCGCCGAAAGCCCGGGCCCCCCCACCCTGCGAAGGTTGGGAGCACCGGAGTCAGACGTACACTTGAACTCGAGTTTCACCCCACCATCGGTGGAATCTAGATCAACTTAATTTTCCTCGGAGTCTAGTTTTCCCATCTGTAAAATGGGAATGATCATGGTGTCTGTTCCAGACGCTCTCGTGAGGCCCAAAGAAGGTGGCGTGAGGTGTTTGGCACAGAGCAGGTGTGCAGTAAATAGTAACTCTTCTCGAAGTGCTGTTCCCTCCACAGCCAGAGTTCTTTCTTGCGGGTGGCAATCCCCACTTCTGCCCTTTCACTGGTCCAGAAGCCTGGACGGTTCACTGCACACCCTTGCCGTGTCTGCCCTCACACTCAGGCCGGTACACTGCCCCCTCCCCAGGCTCTTGGCATCCCCCCTCCCAGCTTGACCCTCCCAATCCCTTGAGTAACTCTTTCAAGGTCCCCCATCTACCATTGGGACCCCCATGGAAGCTCCTGAGTTGGGGCTCCTGGCCCCCTGCTGGTTCGGGTCCACTCCCTCTTCATGTTCCCTCTGCCACCTCTGGAACACCTTGCTCTCCTCCCTTTTGCCTGGCTGGTCCCTGCCTATCCCTTAGCAGGAGCGCCCTCCTACTTCCGAAGCTCCAGCTGACAGCCGCCCTGCCCTCCCCAACAGCCGCCCTGCCCTCCCCGTAGCATCTGCTCCCTCCTTCTTCATTTGCTTTCCAAGCGGGGCCCTTTTGATTACCAGGAGTAGAGACAAGTTCTGGTAAAGGGGGCTGCGATTTTAAGGACATAGGGGAAAATGAAAGGGGTAGAATGGTGTAGAAATCTAGAAAAAAGCCAGAAGGATTTTTTTTTTTCCTTAAACCCTACCAAGTTACTTGCTTGCAGAAAGCCTTTGGTGGCTTCCCTCCATGAACTTAGGATAAAATCCACCCTCCTTGCTGAGGCCCTTGAGGCCCGCCTCTCCCCCTGGTCTCCCGCTACCCTCCCCCTGCTCTTCCCCTTCTGCCCCCTGGTGCTCTCCTGCTCCTCGGATGCAGGGAGCAGACAACCACTGTGCCCCACACTGTACCCCAGCTCTGGTGTGCCAAGAAACCAGCCTCGTGTGAGTCCCACACCTCCCCGCGGCCATTTCCTGTCCAGGTATATGCTCTGATGCCAGACCAGATTGTGAAGCAGGAGGGGGTGTGGGTGTCTGCTGCCCCAAGGGAGTAGGGCAGAGTGACATGGCAGCTCCTCCTGGCCTGACCTGCACTCTTCCTCCTTCACCCCTGCTTCGCTCACGGCTGCTGGTGTTTTGTTGTTGTTGTTGTTGTTGTTGTTTTTTAAACATATTTATAAAGCCCTGTTAGGTGCTAGACAGGGGCTTGCTGTGTTTTCTGGCTCCAGAAGCTCTCCCCACCCCTCCCCAGATGGTGGTCTCACCCATAGTTCTTTTTTCCTTACCCCAGACGATCCTGCTGGTTCACTGGCTGCTGACGACCTGGTGAGTGACTCCGCAGATGTCCACTTCTGTGTCCACCCGTCTCCCAGGATCTGGGTCCACATACCCCCAGGCTCTCATCCATGTGTCTCCTGGCCAGTTCCAGAACTAAATAGCACCTTTGTCAAGAATGTCATCAGCATCCCCATGTCCCAAGAATGTCTGAGGGGCAGGCAGTTTCCAGAGGCCTCTGCCATAACCACCCCCCCCCCGCCCCCGGATCCCAGAAGCTTCAAGCCTTCATCCTAGGGGAGGTGGCTGGCCCAGGGCAGTCCCCACAGCTCAGATCCTCCTCCAGACATTGCCCAGGCCCCTTTGGGGGCTTGGCATGACTCTGGTTCCTCCCCAAGGCCTTTGTATCTGGAAGGTGTGAGGTGCTAAAGCCAGGGGGCCGGTCTCACATAGCCTGCTGGACTCCCCGAGGCAGCCATGGGGTGGATGCCGGCTAGAGCTCTGTGTGTCTGTGACCTTGGGTAAGTCACTTAGACTCCCTGAGTCATTTTCTCACCTATAAAATGAGGGCATTACTGACCCTCCCATTTACCCTGTAAGGTCATTGGAAGGTGAAAGCCGAGTTTTAGAAACTGTAATAACCCCTAACATTTCTTGAGGGTGTCTAGGAGCCAGCCACTGGGCTGAGCACCTTCTGTGGGTTGGCTCCACAGCTCAGCAAGTAGATACTTTATGACCCAAGACACAAGGTGGGGTCACTTGCTTAGGGGTGGACCCTATTTCTTATGTCACACTTCTGCCCAGAGATGACAGACTAGGGATTCAGATGGACCTGGGCAGGTCCTGGCTCAGCTGTGGTCCAGCCGGGTTACCTTAGGCAAATGGCCCACCTCTTGGGACCTTAGTTTCCATCTGTAAAATGTGTATAAGGGTAGCGCACATCCCTCAGGGGCTGTGAGGGAGAAGCATGTTGCGCCCATCCAGCACTCCCCCGGGCCTGTTACAGAGGGACGCTCGAGCACTGCAGGCTTGATTTCATTATTACTGTCTGTTTTACCTGCCGAGCTCTGGGGCGATTTCCCTGCCAAAGCAGGACTGGAAACCACTGAGCTTCTGTGTGCATTTTGCAGACCTTGAACTATGCTGCACGTGTAAAATGGTTGTGAATAATGCAGAAAGTGAAAGTCATGGCTAATGACTTTGGGAAGCAAGGTCAAAATACAGATTTCTCAGTCATACTCCCCAAGATTCTGAGTTGTGGTCTGGGCTGGGGCCCCCGCACTAGCTTCTTAAAACCAAAAAGTCAGGTGACTTAAAGACTATCAAGCTGAGTCAGGTTCTACACTTCACAGCTTTGTACGCATTCTCTGTAGGGAACACTTCAGAATCCAGAAACCTGACCTAACTCTGGTGCCTCTTCCCACAGGGGCTGCATCACGTTCTCGGGCCCCTATCCCTGGGCCAACTTCACCATCCTGGCCGTGGGTGTGTGGGCCGTCGCTCAGCGGGACTCCATCGACGCCATAAGTCTGGTGAGGTGGGGGAAGCAGCGAGGGGACTGGCCTCAGGGTGGTCCGTGGCCCCCACTCTTGCCCCCCTTGCCCATCCCAATCCTGTCTCTTCCAAGGAAGGGGGCCCCCACCCCACCCTTTGTTTTCCATTTCTAAAGTCTTGTCAAGAAGCCCTCCCCAGCTACCAGCCCAGGTGTGTCTTCACTAGCCTGGCCCAGTTCTCGGCCTGCCTGGCTCCGGGAGCCCTGAGTCTGCTCAGTGCCTTCCCCCAAGAGAAGCATGGGCGGGGGCCCCCAAGTGCCCCAGCTTGGCCACTCCTCGAGGGCACTGGAGCATGTCCCCGAGAACCCGCCTCTAGGGCCCTCTTTTAGCAGGGAGCGGTGGGGCTGGGAGCCCCACGAAGAGGGAACTGCTGTACTTTGTGAGGTCAGAGTGGACACAGCCCCGCTGAGCTCTGCCATGGGGGAGCTTCCCAGCACCCACTGCGCCCCGAGGGGCAGCCAGCTCTCCAGCAGGGCCTGTCAGGATGACTAAGAAGGGAGTTCCCTGTGGTGCAGACAGATTGGGTGAACTCCAAGGGACCTTGCATTTCGGAGATTCTAGAACCAGGTCTTGTGCCCCATCGTGGCCACAGGCCAGGTCCAGACCTGGGTCCCCAGATCCCTGGGCTGGGTGCTGTGGTCCTCGCTCAGGCGTCTCACCCACCAGGCCCTGCCTGCTTGCTGATCTGTTTCCCAGCAAAGCCTAAGGACACAGGAGGGCACAAACGGAGCTTCCAGTCTGGTGTTTGTGGTAAGGGAGCCATGAGCCATGATGGAGCATAAGGGTGCTCATAAACCCTGATGGCACATGGTCCCCCCGGGCCCTGCGCCTGGCCTGTCTTGCAGTTCCTCGGTGGCTTGGCGGCCACCATCTTCCTGGACATCGTCCACATCAGCATCTTCTACCAGCGGGCTGGCTTCACGGACACAGAGCGCTTTGGTGCCGGCATGGCCATTCTCAGCCTGCTCCTCAAGCCCTTGTCTTGCTGCTTCATCTACCACATGTACCGGGAGCGCGGGGGTGAGCTCCTGCTCCATATTGGTGAGGCCACCACCTCCGGCCAGCTCCCTGACTGCCCCTCTCGCCGGCCAAGGTGCTGGCGGCGCCATCTCCCGCGTCTCCCCTGTCTCTGGCTTGCCTGACCCACAGCCCCTGCCCAAGTGAGCTGGCCTTGCCCTGGGGGACGAGGGCTCAAGGCGTCGGGGTGGGGGAGGTGGGTGCCGACACTGACCACCAGGCTAGAAGGTCTGCAAGCTCCAGTCTCTGCTGCACGAGCCCAGGGCTCCCATCCCAGCCTGCTGTGAGCTTTCCTGGGCATCAGACTACGGGCAGGGTTGGGGGCAGGACCAGAGCCCTGTCTCAACCTGAGCACGGATGCAGCTGGGTGTGCCCCAGTCCTTCAGGCAGCTCTGGGCGGCCTGCAGCCTGAGGCTGGTAGGCATGGGTGGGGCCAGCCCCTCCTCTCAGCCCCATGCCTAGAGCCTCCCCTCCTGCCATGTGGGGTCTGGGTGGCCAAGGGAGGGGGGCTGCTGGCATGGGCCGTGGAGCCTCGGCTGAAGCTGGCCCTGAACTGCGGTGCTTTCCCTGCTGACATCCTGGTCACCTCAGCCTGGCCCACCACTGCCCCTCCCACACCCTCTTGAGCTGTACCCCCTTCTCCTGGCGGCTGGGCCATTTTCCTGTTCTCTCTCACATACTGCTCATCTTCCAGAGAGGTGGGGAGAGGGTGGGGGTGGTCTTCCACTGTTCCCTCCCAAGAAGAGAGGCCCAGAGGGGCCCATGACCCACCTAGAGGGGCAGCTGGGCCAGGGCAAAAGGCATCTGTGGCCTCCCCAGGGTTGATCTCAGCAATGCCCTGGGGTTGCGGGGAGTCTCTCACATTCCTTCCATTGGGCAGACGAGGGAGCTGGTGCCCAGAGCCCCTGGGACTTGTTCAGGGTCAAGTGTGCAGGGCAGAGAGGGGAGCAAAGAGCATGGGCACTTAGAGCCCTCCCCCCTACCTAGGACCCCCCGCCCAGCGCTCTGGGCTCTGCAACTGTGCCAGCTCTGGGCCTTCTGGATACAGTAGCTCGGGGTCCACTCTGCCCGGGAGAGGAGCCTGTGGGCCGGGGCTGGGCGTCCCTCTGCTCAGATGCATGCTGCTCCGGGAAGGCCCCAGTGTGATGGCCAAGAGCACTGGCTTTGGGCCCGTGCTGCCTTGGCTTGAATTTTAGTGTCCTCCGCGTCAAGCGCCATACTGGGGACAACTCGGTTCATCTCTTTGACCCTCAGTTTCCCTGTCTGTAAAGTGGGGGCAACCCAAATACCTGCTCTGGAGGGTTATAGGAGGATTGGCTGAACACCTGCTAAAAGCTGGGTGGGGGGGGGCTGCTGCCCCCGTCATTGTCCCAGTGCCTTCCTGGGGGGGGTGGGTGGATCTTGGTTGGGACTCAGTAGACTGCCTTGAGTCTTCACCCTTCGTTTTTTTCCTTCCCCCCTCATCCCCCCCACCCCCAGGTTTCCTTGGACCATCACAGGAGCGCAGTGACTACCAGACGATTGACTCACCAGAGGCGCCCACAGACCCCTTTGTAGGCTCGGAGGGCAGGGGTCACTCCCCGCAAGGGTACTGAAGCCAGTCTGCTTTGGCCCCAGCGCAGGGGCCAATGGAGCAGACCCCATCGACAGCCCAGGCTGCATCGCCCTCCTTGTGCCTTGGATGGCATTCTAGAGATGTTCCTGACCTCCACCCCCCTTTCTTGGACCGTGTTCTCCTGTTGCCCATCTCCCTAGTCAAGTGCCCTGAGTGGCCCGGAGCCCCGTGCACACCTGCCCCAGACTCCCTGAGGCCTCCTCTCCCTTCAAGCCACCCCAGTGGTCTGAGGCTGGGAACCGTGGTCTCTTTCCTCACCTCCCGTAGCGGCTCCGCGTAGCCCCTGTCCAACCATGCCTGAGCCAGTCCTTGCCCATAGTCTATTGACCTCGCCCACAGAAGCTCTGAGAGCTTTGGGTCATGCTCAGTCCTGGGAGCAGCCCAGCATGGGGGTGAGGTCCCTGTGCTTCTCACTGCCTGGCAACTTGGTGCTTAGGGACCTTGGGGCTGGAGGCAGGAGGTGTCTGCAGCACCTGAGAGCCACCAAGGCCTCCAGCTGCCCTTCCCACAGCCATGGCCTTCACGTTTCGGGAATCGGTAGCTGGGTGTGTTTTGAGCCATGGTTAATCTTCCAGCTGGGCTGGGGCCTGGCCCTGCCATTCCTGAGAAGGTTTCTCCTTTGAACCCGCAGGGAACCTGGGCTTAGCCACCCATTTTGTTGCAGGAGGAAGCAGGAGCTCACTCCTCAGCTTTGGCCTAGCCAAGGCCCCAGCAGAGGAGGGCGCTATTTGGTGTGGCCAATGGGCATCCATGTCTCTGAATCAGATGACTTGGGTATTGGTTTGCATCCCTCTCTGCCACTTTCTGGCTGTGTACCTTTGAGCAGCTTAATGTCTCTGACCTCAGTGTCTTCTGGAAAAGAGCTAATGCCTGCCCCAGGGGTGATGAGGGGAATGAAGTGTGCAGTGCCTGGCCCTTGGAAAGCTCCCTAAGCCACAGCAAAGTTGGTGGGTTGCTCCTTGATTCTGTGATGATGTGGGGTCAGTAGGCAAGGGTGACCTCTTCCTGGCAGACCTCATGTCCTGGTGTCAGGGCTGACTGGGACCAGCACCCATCCAGAAGCCCCAAGCGTCCCATGGCCAGGGTCCTAATCTATATCGACTGGACCAAGTGTTGACCTCAGGGCCTCACGGGCCTGGGTTCTCCCAGGCAATCCCGGCTTGTCCCTGGCACGTGGTACTGCTGAGCGCAGGCTGCAGGGCTCAACTCTGGGGCCTGCTCTCAGGGAACAGACATTAAGAGTCCTCTGTCAGGAGGCAAGAGCTCCGAAAGGGACCCCTGGGAAGGGACCAAGGGACGCTGAGTGGCTGCAGCTGCAGGAAAGCTAGAAACAGTTTCACCGTCAGAAGGGGACGAATAGATAACCCATGGTACGTTTATTCTATGGATATGGTTCAGCAGTTCACGTGAATAAACCAGATCTAGTTCTATTGACATGGGTCCCCCTATTGTGAGCAAAACAGACTGTAGAATGGCATCTTCAATGTGAGCGTTTGCATGAATTTAAAAACCTCCAAACAATATCATATGTCGTTCATGAATGTACATGTAGTGAAATACAGAAGTGTGGACTAGAAGGAAGGACCCTTCAAGGTCATGGCTGAGGCAGCCTTGGGTAGGGGAGAGGTGTGACCTTCGGGGCATGGGACTAAAAACCCAAGTTCCGGTTCTCTTGTTTATACCAGTTCCTGGCACACAGCAGGCTTGCGCTGTGCACCCTTCTGTGTGTATGTGGTGAATATGTCAGATTTCCAAAGGGAATGAAAAGGTGGGGGGACACAGTGAGGGGACAGCTAATAGAGCCTGTGTCAAGCAGAGGGGAGAGTGTATTCAGAGACCCCAGTTCCTCCTAGTCCCAGACCCTCGAGTCTGATTGGATCTTTATGGAGGGCAGAGGAAGGCCCCTGTCTTAAGTGGGGGTCCCCAGAAGCAGACCCTGAATGCAGCGTCTGGCTTGGTGCAAAGCAGGGGCGGGGCCTGGGCTTTCTGGTCATTGGCCAAGGGCTGCTCCAGAGTTGGGGGACAGTGACTTAACCTCCCAGGCTACTCTGGCTCCCTGAACCAGGCAGGCCCAGTGGCTTCAGAAGCTGGAGGGCTGTTCTGCAAGAAGAGTGCCACCAGTGGGGTGCCCCCTTTCCAAACAGCAGGTCTCGTAACTGACGTTCGAACATTCATTCGACAAGCAACCAAGAGCCTATGGGAGCTAGGAGTCTTCCAGCTGCTGGGGATACCAGAATCAAGGAGAAAAAGTCCCAAGTACCAGGAGATTCCATTTGGCATGAGAGGTTCTGGGCAGGGGAAGAGCTCATAGGGAGGCCTGGCCAGCCTGTTTCCAGGCACAGTCAGGAGGCCAGAGTGGCTGGAGCCAAGGGAGGGAAGAAGGAATGAGGTCAGAGAGGCAGCAGGGACCAGGTAGCAAAGGGCTAGTAGGTCATTTTGAGGACTTTGGCTTTTTCTGAGTGAGATGGGGGGGCCGTTGGAGGGCTTTGGGCAGAATGGGACACGATCTGACTCACTCTAAAAGGACAGTGTCGATGGCTTGGGCTGGGAGGTAGAGATGGGGGTGGTGACAAGTGGCCTTGTTGAGCAGAACACCATGCACCGATTGTCCCTTCCAGGGAAGGACATCAGGCAGTTCTGCCCACTGTCAGAGTAATCAGGCTCCAAGGAAAGCAGTGCGGTCAGGCACTGGCTGGACAACGCCTTACGCCGAGAAAAGACCAGATCAGCCTTGGCGGCGGGTGGCGGTCCCCTGTGGCCAGCAGTAACTGAAGCAGGGCACTTAGCTTACTCTCCCCTCTCTCCTGCCGGAGTGGAAAGACACTCCCCTCCCTGCGGAGGACAGACGCAGCAGTGGGGTTGGCCAGGTGCCACATGACACGCATGCGTAAGCAGAACAAAAGAGCGAACCCTGGGCTTGAAATAGGGGAAGATATTCCCACACGAGGTGACAAGGTCAGCACAGGCTGTTGCGGGCTCTTTATCTCTTGGGAAGGAAGTGTTCCAGCCTCAAGGCCCATTGTTACCCAGCGGGTGGGTTTGAAAGACAGCATGCAAGTGACTGCCTCGCCCAACAGAGCCGCTCTTGGATATATTCTGAAGGCAAGGCGACAGGATTTACTCGTGGACAGGATGCAAGAGAAAAAGAAGAATCCACGATTGCAAGGTTTGGGGCCTGAGCACCTTGGGGCTTGAGCTGCCACCGACTGGGAGGGAAGGTGGCAGGAAGGCCAGGTTCCAGGAAAGGCCAGATGAGTCACACTGAGGAAATGGGCCTTCCCACCAGACCTTCTCACCACTGGGAGGCCAGCTTTTATAGACACTTGGAAGTACTCTGTATTTCAGGGTGCCTGGGTGGCTCAGTTGGTTAGGCGACTGCCTTCGGCTCAGGTCATGATCCTGGAGTCCCGGGATCGAGTCCCACTTCGGGCTCCCTGCTCAGCGGGGAGTCTGCTTCTCCCTCTGACCCTCTTCCCTCTCGTGCTCTCTATCTCTCATTCTCTCTCTCTCAAATAAATAAATAAAATCTTTAAAAAAAAAAAAAAGGAAGTACTCTGTATTTCAGCCTATAGTATCTGCTGATCCAGAAACTGTCGACCACAGGAAGCAAATTCCTCTTGCCTCCGCTCTCCTGCCCGTGACGACTGAAGCCACTAGTCTAGTTCCCAAATCTTGTATTTCTTGTTTTCACAAAGCTGAGCCTTCCAGATGAGGGAGCCAGAGACAAACCCCTGTCCCAGGAGAGGTGACTGTCTTTTCCTGTTGGCCAAAACTGGACCAGAGCCAGCCGTACCTGCAGGAGCCCCTGCCTTAGGCCCATCCTGGGAGTCTCCAGAACAGCCTGGAAATTCCAACTCTCCCAGCCTCCCTCCAAAGTGGCCCTAGAGCCAGAAAGCCTTGGTCAAATCCCTACTGGCACCCCATGACTGGCTGTGTAAGAGACGGGACAATCTCTTAACCTCACTGTGACTCAGTTTTCTCATCGGAAAAGTGGGGATACTCATAGTGTTGACTCTGGGATTAGTAAAGTCTGAAAATGTGTAACATCAGCATTTCTCATTACCTGTGTTACCATGTTAATTATTCAGAGAGAGGGAGGGGGTGATGGGTGTAGGGGAGGAAAGAGTTTTCCTTAGCCCTCTTAGGGTCCCTGGCTGGGTCTGAAAATTAAACTGACAGGGATTAAACAGGAGAAAAAAACACGTACGTTTTTCAAACTTTTACATGTACACAAGAACTTTCACAAGAGGGGCGCCTGGGTGACTCAGATGGTTGGGCGTCTGCCTTCGGCTCAGGTCATGATCCCAGGGTCCTGGGATCGAGTCCCGCATCGGGCTCCCTGCTCCTTGGGAGCCTGCTTCTCCCTCTGCCTCTCTCTCTCTCTCTCTCTGTCTCATGAATAAATGAATAAAATCTTTAAAAAAAAAAAAAAAAAGAACTTTCACAAGAGAAGAAAGGCCTGATGAAGTGACAAGAGCAGGGAGCTTTTATACCTTTCACACAAAGAGACAATAAACGTGTGAAGAATTGACAAGACAAAGAGGTCTGGGCTGGGGTAGTGAATGGTGAAGAAGTAACCAGGAAGATAAGGGTTAGATTAACAAGGTTTGTTTATACAGATTTCTTGTCTAGAAATTCCCTGTCTCTGGTAATAAAAATGTCCTCTTTCCTCGTGGTACAGGGAGGATACCATTCAGGCAGAGATTTAGGACCTGTTTCAGGAAAGGACAAGGGATGGGGTCAGAGTGACTTCCTTCCTTCTGCCATTTTTTCAAACACTCAGGTTAAGATGTTCAGTATGCCACGGTGCCAAAATTTGGGGGTAGCATGTCCTGAGCCCCATCACCAGTCTGTCTGACCATCCGTTCATGTATTCATTTATTATCAATTCTATAATAATTTATTGAGTGCGTCCCACAAGTTTTGAAAAAATTGTCAAGAAGTAAAACAGGTTTTCCTCACTGGCCACAGCAGAACCCTGAGGGTCCAGTTCTCCAGGTAGTCGAGGGCTTGTGTCCATACCTATGAATCTAAAAACTATTGACAGATTCAACATTATAAAACATTATCATATCGAAGATCTACACTCAGATTCACAGACTTGAACTTGAAGGGAGCTTAGAGCTCCAGAAGCCCAGCAGTTTCAGATGTTTTTTATTTCAAAACCTTGGCTCAAAAGAAATCTTACACAGGGTATAAAACAGAGCGGGTCTGACAGAGCCCACCAGCACCACCACCCCCACCACTCTGAGGTAGGGCCCCCAAAACACAGTATGGAAACTCTTCTCCTACATCCACCTTATTTCACAGCTCGGGACACGGGCCCACAAAGAGGAGACATGGCCAAGGGCACGTGGAGACTTTGGAATGCGAAAAAATGGAGACTGGGGTGCCAGGTAGAACTTAAAAGGAAAAAACAGAACTTATACAAATGAACAGTTAGAGACTCAATGGATGGATCAATTCATAGAATAGATACATCAGAAGAGAGAATCAGTAGCCTTGAAGAGATATTTGAAGGAA